CCCGGGGGGGGGGCTCACAGCTGTGGCCAAGACAGATAGTATCCAGCGGATAAGAATGTCGTCCTGGCCAGCAAACAATCCTCTCGTTTGCGCTTGTTTTCAGTGAAAGGGCTGTTTTTAACCCATAAAGCGGTTTGAACGGCGATCGGGTGGTGTCGGAGTTTGGGACGTCGCACCCTTTTTATGTGTGGCCGAGGTATTGCGAGCACACACGGCGGTTGTTGGGCGAGGGGGAGGGTAACTGGCCCCCTGTTAGCCGCAGGTGTTGGCGTCGGTAGCAATGCGCGCGCTCGTCTCGGGGTGTGGAGACCGAGCAAATACGTGCGTACCTCTGTCTTCTTGCTCCGATCCTGAACCTGGTCATGTGTGGGTGTCATTGCCATCGCTCGCCTTTCGAGGGGTGCGCTCTACTAGGCGATTTTGCCAATCTACGGCACACCTTGCTTTGGTGTGTTTGGGGGCGGGAATCGAGATCAGTCTGGATTGGATGGGTTTGGCCGCGTGTCAGAATCAACATGTACAGACTCTTCCATGATGCACACCCATGATGCGGGGAGGTTTCAGTTCGTGTGGATGGACAAGGATTGGTAGGGGGGGACGCAGAAGACAGCAGCCCTTAACGACAGGCGACTCGCCTCGGGACCCTTAACTCTCGAGTTGAGACAAGCCCCAAGTACTCAATTAGACTGCGGGGGGCAACGGACGGGGAAAGGGGGGACCTGATTTCTCGTGTTTCCTCCTCCTGATGGAATTAAATGGCTCCGAGCACTGTTTTTTTTGTCGAGACGTCTCAGAACGTTTGGTATCGGCACTGGCCCTCCCTGTCGCGCGCCTTTTGTGAAACGATCGGCTGAGCTTCAAGAGTTGCGACAGGGGGCGGGGTGGCCGAAGCGCGAAGGACGGCGTGTTTTCGGCGCTTATTGCTAGATACCATCTCTCGACGAGGCGTTAGCGTGCCTGCAGCATGTCCTAAAGCTCCGAAAGGGACTTGCCAGAATGCCGTTAGTGCTTTGTGTTCTGCAGCCTTGACCTTGGGTCCGCTGAAGTTTTGCAAGCTGGCTCTCCTGCCAAGTTAGTGACGTGTACCACCTTCCTCTCCGACGTGCGCCGAGCAGAGCTCTCGTCATGCAAAAAAAAATTCGAATTAAAATACTGGAAGTAATTCGAAGGCCGATACAAGATCTTTCTGGAACTAGCCGGACCGAGAGGAAACATCATCGATGCCCGGGGGGGAGGGGGGCTAGGCTTGCCGAAATCTGTATCAACCAACGCTCTTCGCCCGTAGGAAAAGCTCGACCATCTATATTAACTATCTCACACCATGCATAACGACGCCGAACAAGTTGAATTAATTTGCCATGAACGGCCTACTACACCGAAAAAACCACAACAAACGACAACAACAACAGCTGCTACCGATGCGGATGCAGGAAGCACATTGCTCCAGCAGGCGAGAGGAAGAAGCCACACACGCACACACACACCGGCCCAAATCCCAAAACCAACTCGCCGCCACGGGAGCATGCAAAGAATCGCACACCATGTGAGGACTACTGTACTTCAAAACCAACGGGCAAAATAGGATCACCGTTAATTCTTCCACAAATGACGGGAACCCTTGTTTTGGATTGGCTCTTCACAATAAGGCGAAACAACGCCCCCACCCGCCCCCGATTCACCGGTACACACAGGACGACGGAAGGACGACTTGCTATATTTTCTGTGTTTGACAAAACAAAAGTTGTCACGCTGCCTAGACTACAGGATGTGCATGCACCCTCTCAGAAAAAAACATTCAGAAACAAATTCCTCAGCGTGAACGAGAATGACAAAACGATCCGGCCACCGTAACTAGGACCGGGTACATACTCAAGTTAAAAACTTTGTTGTGTGCGCCAGCCAGCCAGCGTGTTTTCGACAGGCGTTTTTTTGTAAACGAACCGCCCGAAAGGCTGATGGCTTCAAAAGCAACCCCTTTGTTTCCGTTCGCGACACGCAACACGCAACCAATCACCTCACACACAAACAAACCAATGAAACGATGAACTTCCGCAAAAACACGGCGAAAAAACAAAACGCAAAACACAAAAAAATGGCTCATTTTTGCGTCTGTCTTTCGTAGTTCCAAGAAAACGCCGACAACCAACAAACGGTTACATGTCAAAGAATACAAATAAAGAGAAAAATAAAAGAGAGAGAGAGAGAGGAACGAATCGCGATGAAACAAAGCTACGAGAGAGAGAGCAAAAAATCACAATCATCGTAAACCGAAATCTTGTATCAAAGCCCTCACACACACACGAAAAAAAGGCGGCGGAAAAAAATTCAAAAAGTTTGCGTGTCAACTGCTAAACCCCCCATGAACCCCCCCCCCCCCCCCCCGATAATCGTATTGTCTTGCATATCGACTTAAGAAACAGATCATATTTTATTCAGCGTCGTAGCAACCAAGCCCATCCAGAGGTGCCTCTGAAGTTTGATATTGCCGTCCCTCTATATTACGGATAATTGGATTTCTCCCAGCGGCCGGCAATTCTTACCACCCTCGCTCGCGAGGGCATCGACGGAAGCAGTAGCACCAGCACCAGTCTCCCAAGGACGGACAGCAAGGTGCTCTGGACCGCCTTCTTCGCGAGAAACTAAGTTGATGGGGAAATAGAACAGGGAGGGGGTACGCAGACCCTAATCCCTAAGCCATACCCTAACCCCCAAGTTCCCCGACTGCATTATTTTCTCCAACATGATTGCTTACTCGAAAAACCCGCGAAGTCTACTGGGTGCTCCGAGAAGCCAGCTGTCTCCCACGGAACCAAACAGAGCAGCAGCAGCAGCAGCAGCAGCAGCAGCAGCAGCAGTCAGCGTTGTTGCCGGGTTCGCTTTCTCCTCTTGCACACCTCGCTCGGCGCTGCGGACCTAGTTACTTTACCCTCCGATGTCACCACTCCATCCACCCTTACTCAAAATCCACGGCATCTGAGGAACAACTTGGACGATTTCACCACTACTACCATCTCCACACCGCATCACCACAACCAACAACACCAGTCCGAGGAAATCACCCAGGGCGGGGGGGGAGAGGGAACGGGGTGGGGGGGGGGGATGCAACTGACCCGAGGGGGGGAGGACAAATTAACAGGAGACAAGGGAAGGAAGGGGGGTCTATACCACGCGTCTCCAAGCCGAGCTCTACGCCAGGCCAACAGAAAAGAAAGACACCAACAAAGATGAACGAAGAGATAATCACTAGGGTGCATTGTACGATAGCAGCTAACTCCCTGTGCAGCTCTCTCTCTCTCTCTCTCTCTCTCTCTCTCTCTCCCTCTCTATCTCAACCTTGGTGGGGGGCCCACAGAAGGGTTCGTAGCGGTACAAATAAAATCTCTCTCTTGGCAGACAGACACACGACCAGAGGGGGGCCGCAAGCGCAATCACTCTCTTCTTCTAGTTCTTCCTGCCGCTCTTTCTGCAATGCCCCGCCGACCTTCGGTGAACCAAGCATGCCTGCCTGCGCTGCAGCCCAACCTTCTACCCGATTCCTCAGCTTCGCCCGCTAGGGGAAAGAATAACCAAACACGTACAGAGCAGGGCGACATAACCACGCGGCCTCTGCAAACGCACACTTAATCTATCGAAAACACGACCGACCGATGAAACCTCTTCTCAAATCGTCGCTCCTTGTAAAATTTATTGGTCGCCCATCCGCGCCCTCCGTGCTCACACAACTCTACTATTTTTTTCGCGTGCGTCTCCACAAACGCGTCAAAAAAAGGGTACAAGGGTACAATGCCGCCTTCTTCCGCCCCCCCAACGTCGCGATTCTAAACACCACCCACGAAACCCCCCCCCCTCCCCCCAAACGGGTCGGAAAACAGCGGCAACGTGAATCCCGGCTGGCTGCCTTCCAGCTGACTGGTCCAGCACAGCAAGCAAAAGATGGCAGCAGCGCAAGGAAATAAGCGGTGTCAACACCACCCTATGCCACAGGCTATCGTCAGGAAGCGTCGCCCCCCTCTCCTTGCCTGTCTTGGTGGCTGGGTTTCTTCTCGAGCACCACCACGGCCACCTCGTTTGCCGATTTTTTTTGGATCACGATATGCCTGGAAATAATATTAAAAAAAAAGAGAAAATCATGCGGAGGAGGAGGGGCAGGCGTGCTCATATCTTGCATCCCTTAGTTGTAATTGTAAGGCCATTGACCACGCGTCTTCGGAGGGGCCGGAGCCTGGTCATCCTGGGGTGCTCGAGCGTTTGCACCCACAGGCGCTGCATTACGAAGAAAACTCCAAAGGGCTGTCCCCTCAGAATCGGAATATGCATCGCGCATGGCAGCAGTACAGAACAAGCTCGGAGAGAAAGACAACGTAAAATCGGGTCCAGGTTCGACTTCTGAATGCGTCGTAGCCACTTTGTCGAGTACAAGTTGTTAAATAGAGCGTATTTATTGTAAGGTCCACCGCTGAGATAGATGTGACTAATACTCCTTTTTTCTTATTCTTCTTGAGCCTCTCTTTCTGAACGAACTGTTTCGCAACTCTGCGGGTCCATTCCGTATGAGCATGCGAAAAGCCGGCCATCAGGAGCCGGGGTGCAACCGCACCAAGTTGAGGCCTTCATGCT